GGCCCCCAAAATCCTGCCACCTGGTCATAAAAGGGAGCAGCCAGAGTGTAGACGGATCAAAACAAATCCATCACCGCTGGTGGGAACAGCCAATCGGGGGAATGGTGACGGATGGTGATTCAGTAGCATCTTTGATTTGAAAGACACGACATCAGAAATGACCTCACAGCACCTAATCAGTTCCAGAAAGGGACTTTGTTCTCCAGGAGACAAGGTGGGAGATCAAAGCATTTCTTGCTAATCATCATTTAGCATTAATTACTTGTTAAGTAACCTGACCCAGACCCAATACCGCTCCCTACCTCGCATCCTGACAGCCTCAACGAACACCCTTGATCTTTCAACCCAACCTGCATCAAATTGGGAGCAAGCGGACTGCAAACCTGGGAACGGACAGACCCCGGGCGGCCCAGGCAGTCAGTCGTTCAGTTACTTCTCCTTTTCCTGTGAACTTTTTAACCCCACCAGCCAGGAAATGCATACACAGGGCAGCGGGCTTCCCCGCCCCCGCTTCTCCACCACACTGCACGAGTTCCTCAGATCTGGGCACTAACGCCTCTCCATTCACAAGCTGTGTGGCCCAAGGCATACCGGCATCCCTCTCTGAGACCCCGGTTTCAACTGCACGCACAGAGATAACACTATCCACACCTCCCAGCCTCGTTGTAAGGATTAAACAAGATGTAAAAAAGACCTCTAAAGATTGGTCCATACATTGTGTAGGAAACTACAGGGGGTTGGGGCTGTACTGGCAATAATTTATTTCTAGAGCTGAGTGGGGGCCATGGAGTTCATTATTATATTACTTACATCTTTTTTTGTGGCTCTGAAATAATGTATGATAAATGCTACAGGTTGAATTGTGTCCCCCCCTGCACCCCAAATTCTTATGTTGAAGCCCTAACCCCAGTGCCTCAGAATGTGACTACCTGGAGATAAAGTCTTTCAGGAAGTAACTAAGTTAAAATGGGGTCATTCGGGTGGGTCCCAATTCAGCAAGACTGACGTCCTTATAAGAAGAGATTAGGACACAGGCACACACACAGAGGGCAGACCACGTGATAACACAGAGAGACAACAGCTATCGACAAGCCCAGGAGAGAGTCCCCAGAAGAAATGCATCCTGCCAACTGACTTCTGGCCTCCAGAACTGTAAGAAAATGAACGTCTGTCCTCTAAGCCACGCACACAGTTTCTGCAGCCCTTGCAAACTCACACAATAAACCTCAAATGAGTTGTAGAAACCATAAGCTGAATGAAAATGAAAGAGACAGTACTAGTATGGCTCAAATCAAAAAGATGGATAAGGGCGCCTGGGTGGCTCAGTCTGTTGAGCGTCCAACTTCCGCTCAGGTCATGATCTCAAGGTTCGTGGGTTTGAGTTCTGTGTCGGGCTCTGTGGAGACAGCTCGGAGCCTGGAGCCTGCTTGATTCTGTGTCTCTTTCTCGCTCTCTGCCCCTCCCCCTGCTCGCAGTCTGTCTCTCTCTCTCTCAAAAATAAACATTAAAAAAATTTTTTTAAAAATATAAAAGATGGATCATAAGTGTTGGTGAAGATGTGGGTTAAACTGAAACTCTCATACATTGCCAGTGGGAGTGTAAAAGGGTGTAGCCACTCTGGAAAACAGTCTAGCCATTCTTCAAAAAGTTAAACACAGGGGCGCCTGGGTGGCGCAGTCGGTTAAGCGTCCGACTTCAGCCAGGTCACGATCTCGCGGTCCGTGAGTTCGAGCCCCGCGTCGGGCTCTGGGCTGATGGCTCAGAGCCTGGAGCCTGTTTCCGATTCTGTGTCTCCCTCTCTCTCTGCCCCTCCCCCGTTCATGCTCTGTCTCTCTCTGTCCCAAAAATAAATAAACGTTGAAAAAAAAAATTTTTTTTAAAAGTTAAACACAGAGTTACCATGTGACCAGTCAACTCCACTCCTAGGCATCTACCCAAGAGATATGAAAACATGTATCCACACAAAAACTTGTGCAAGAATGTTCAGGGCATCATTATTCACAATAGCCAAAAGATAGGGACAGCCCAAAGGTCCAGCAACTGGACAAGGGATGAACAAAGTATGGTCTACAAACACAATGGAATATTATTCAGCCATAAAAAGGAATGAAATACTGACAGACGCCACTATGTGGGTGAAGCTTAAAAATATTATACTAAGTGAAAAAGCTAGTCACAAAAGGTCAAGTATTGGATAATTCCATTTACATGTCCAGAACGGGCAAATGCATAGAGACAGAAAGCAGATTAGTGGTTGTCAGGGGCTGTGGGAGGGGAAGATTTAGGGGTTGGGGACTGGTTGCTGATGGGCTTTCTTTCAGAGGGAATGAAAACGTTCTAAAATTAGACTGTGGAGATAGCTGTCCAACTCTCTGAATATCCCAATTATACTAAAAAGTGAGTTGTACACTTTTAGCGGGAGAACTGTATGGTAAGCAAGTTGTATCTGTTTCATTATAAGGTGTTTAAAAAAAAAAAAAGACCGGTACCCCCAAAGTATTGTTTGGTTTAGTATTGTTAAATCTCGAATGTTCTCTCTTCACTCTCTAACCAGCCGAAGGGCTTCAGTCTCTCCCCCACCCCCAGATTTGATATTAGCCACGTGACCTTGTGTATAGACCCGTGCTTATACACCAATCTTCCACAAAAATCTTAGATAAGGGCTACTCCCCCCAGAAGCCTGCTTCCTGTTTCAAGCCCTTTGGAGGAAAAGGGCAGAGGGTTGATTTTTTTTTTTTTTTAATGCCTATAAGCCTCTCAGGAGTAAACTGAGGGTCTGAGGCACAAAGGACAGGACACATCAGTAATCCTGAAGTGCTTTCCCCCAGAGAAGTTCGTTTGGACCCCTCCATTAATTCTGAGATTACAATGGGTCATGGCAAGTTTGTTTTTTCAAAGCCCATGTTCTGTAAACCCCAATCCCTCCCCCAAAGCAATTCCTTAGCTGGGAGGGGAGCAGGCAGTGAGGCAAAGCCACCATTTCCTCTTCAAGTTCAGAGCAGCCGTGGGGCCCGGCTAGGTTGTTGCAAGGCGCTATGTTTGCAGGTACAGTTTGTGGTCTGAGCAATGGTGGTTGTGTTTATTGCCCATGTAGGGGAAAGTGAACATTAAAACCCCACTCACTTCCATGGATCGGGAAACTAATGGCAGAAGCTATGAAAGTGAATCCTTTTTCATTTCTACTGCCACCTAAATTCCCACTAAGCTTCAAAGAGAATTAGAATTCAATACCTACAAGTAATAGGGGCCATCTTCCCCAGCAATTCTACATTTAGGAATATACCCTAAGGAGATAATCAAACAAAAGTGGAAAGAATGACCTAAGAACATCACTGACCAATAGAAATGTAAAGTGAGCCACACATATACTTTTATATACTTTTCGTAACCACATTTAAAGAGGAAAAAAGAAAAAGGTGAAATTAACATTAATAATCCATATATTCAAAATATTATCATTTCAACTAGAGTTGCCAGATTTAACAAATAAAAATACAGTACACCCAGTTAAATTTCAGATGAACAATGAATAATCTTTTTTAGTGTAAGTATATGTGATATGTGGGCTATATTTACACTTAAAGTTTTATTTGTTGTTTACCTGAAATTCAAATTTAAATGGGGATCCTTTCTAAAATCTGGCAACCCTAATTTCAACATGCAATCAATATAAAAAACAAATTAATGAGTAATTTTACAGTGTTCTTTTTGCACTAAGTCTTTGAAATCTGTTGTGTATTTTATACTTCTGACACATCTCAATTTGAGCTTGTCATATTTCAAGTGTTCAATAGCCATACAGCTAGCAGCTACCATTTTGGACAACACAGATCTAGAATATTCCTCTAAATGTTTCTTATAAGAGAAAAAAAAAAAAAAAAAACCCAGAAATTGGCAAAATACACATCAACAAAGAGGCTGCTGAAGTCACAACTGACATTTAAAGAGCACTAACCACTGGTCACTCCTTGTCCTAAGAACTTTGCATACATTATTCCTTTTTTTTTTTTAATAGTTAACCAGAAACAAATTCAACAATGCATTATCTCATCTAGTCGTCACAACAACCATTTGAGTAGGTGCTGGTATAACCCTTTTTTACAGATGAGGAAAGTAAGGGCCCAGGGAGCATCTATAACCTGCTCAAGAAAGTGGTGAGCTGAGTGTCGGCAGATGGGCTGATACATACGTGTCCTACCCCAGCACAGACTTTGGAAGAAGACACACCAAAATGTTACTGGTTTTCTCTGCAGAATGGACTTTGAGGTAGACACTGGTTAACAGTCTAGTCTCTGCTGTCAGACCGATCGCCTTGCCCTCGGTTCTGCCAGGTGCCCTCACAAGTGACCTTACCTTTCTAAACCTCAGTTTCCTCATCTGTAAAATGAGAGTCACAAGTGTCTGCCCCACAGGGCTGCTGGGAATCTAAAGAAGATAAGGGATGCAGGGGATGAGGCAAAGCAACCTGCTCCTGGTAAGCCCTCAGTGACATTACTGTCATTCTCCCTAGGGTCTTGGTCCTTTCCTATTTGAATAGACTTTTTCATGGTGAGCATCAATCAGGTTTACAAAGACAAAAAAAAAGTTACTTTCAAAAGAGAGGAAAGAGTCCTTGAAGCAACTGGAGGAAAAAAAGAAGGAAGGAAGGAAGGAAGGAAGGAAGGAAGGAAGGAAGGAAGGAAGGAAGGAAGGAAGGAAGGAAGAGAGGGAGGGAGGAAGGGAAAGAAGTCACCTAAAGAAGGGGAAAAGTGAGCCATCATTTCCCCACGGTTTTCTGAGTGGCCACCAGGTGGCCACCACTGCCTGCAGTTTCCACAGCTAGGGAAAATGATTCCTTTCAAAAAACAAAAATTTGCAATAGACAAATCACCAAAATCATTCATCTTAACTGGGGTGCCCTAGGCCGGGAGTCCCCACTGAAAAGTTGCCCACACTCATCTTACAGGAGATGTGAAAGGCAGCGGAAATGGTCCCTCAGCTGCGGGCAATCTGCGTCTTACCTTTGGAGTCTTCTTTGGCCAAGTGACTACAGGGACCCCAGTGACGGCCAGACTGGGGTCGTCGTCTGCATGCTCCTTCAGGACATTCTGTGGCCAAACAAAGGAGCCATATTAGCCCAGAGTAGAGGGAAGGTCTCTGAAGGGGGCTAAGACTGGACCTAACCCAGTGAAAGACTGATAGGCCTCTGCAGTCACCCACCACCCACACACTCAGTAGAAACCAAGTCACCAGGGTCCGTCAGAGACCACAAGACACACAACATCCTCCTTTCCAAAAAATGTTTAAAGAGTAAATCACTCACCTCCCTATGACTTCCATGAAAGTATCACTCACTGATCATATTTATAATGTGCCAAATATTTAAATATTTATCTCCAGCACCAGGGACTCACACACAACCTCATTCAATCCTTACCAAGTACCCCGGGAGTGGGCTGGGCAGTGCACTAAAATACTCCAATGTACAAAAACTCAACTATGGATGCAGAGAAACAAAAAAACAACACTAACCACGAGGTCTTGACACCTGTGAGACCTGACTCAGCCGGTAAGTCATGCGTATTCTATTCCCCGTGTGTAAAGACATGTCACTGTTTATTACAACATGGGCTTCATAAACACTGGTAGATACTTAATCTGGTTTGACCAAGGATGGAGTTCATATGGCCGCAAATGCCAGCAGAAAAGTGGGCTGTGATAGACATACATCCAGGCTGGGCAAGGGTCTCCCACGTGGCACGCTGTGTTCACATCTTTGTATGTCATCTGAAGGCTTTTCAAAGGTAATTCTGACTCTACCAGCTTTCGGCCTTAGGCGGTGACTGATTTGAGAACCTCATCCAGGTGCAAGATGCTACTCTACTGAATTATCCCTAACTTATAGGCACAGGAATCAAGGCTCAGAAAGATTCAAAGGCCTCGGATGCTGCCCCAGACCAGAAGGGCAGAGCCCCTGAACTCACTTTCTGGGTCCAGACTTCCCAGCCCAAGACCACTCCACACATGGGTTTTTTAGTTGCATCCGCAATGCACCATTAGCCTTTAGGGACAGACACAGATCTGTCACTGGCCTCTTCCGACCTTGACCATTAATTTTTGTGTTGTGCAAAAGCATTCCTGCAGGGACATTTAAAAGCAGAGAAAGTTGCACAGGAGAACTTAAGAAGAACAGAAGAGCTCAAAAGAGAAATGTA